AGTGTCCGAACAGCAAGGAAAAGCAGCTGATTCTTTTAAAAGTTTAATGACTGTTTCTGATAAAGCTCAAATTGCTTCTTACCAAGTCTCAGAACTGATCGCACAAAATATGAAAGCTCATACTTTGGGTGAATCACTTATTTTGCCTGCTTGCCAAAAGATTGTCAGTACGATGTTAGGAAATGAAGCAGCTATGAAAATAAGCAAGATACCTCTGTCCAATGATACTGTTAACAGGCGTATTTTGGAAATGTCTTCTGATATTGCGAAAAATGTATGTGGTAATAAACTCCAGTGTTCTGATTTTGCACTGCAAGTTGACAAGTCAACCGACATTACCAACAAGGCGCAACTCATAGCATTCATTTCATTAACGAAAATCAAATAACAAATCAGTTTCTTTTTTGCAAAGAATTAAGTCTGACTACAAAAGGTGAGGATGTTTTTAACATCCTGAATAACTACCTTGATAAATGGCAGTTATCTTGGAAATCATGTGTAGGCATTTCCACAGATGGAGCTCCTTCTATGATAGGCTGCAACAAGGGTCTTGTATCTTTTATAAAGGAACAAAACGAGAATGTTATTGTAACTCATTGCTTCCTTCATAGAGAGGCCTTGATGTCAAGAACATTAGGAGAGGATTTAAGAGAGGCCTTAGATCAAGTTGTTCAAATGGTGAACTTTATTAAAACAAGACCAGTTAAAACAGATCTGCACCAATATGGAGTCTCAATACAGATGGCTACTTTTACACACCGATGTGAGGTGGCTGTCAAGAGGCAAAGTACTTACCCGTGTACACGAGTTACGACAATGAAACAATTTTGTAGAAACTGCAATAGATTCTAGTTTAACGCTAACAGAAAAAAAAGAACTGGCAGCTGTGTCCACTGATCGTGGATTGATGATTAAATACAAAGAATTGTCTCTTGAAGCTTTTTGGATTTCTATCAAAGAAGAACGTGTGTCGATATCTAAAAAAGCGCTGGCTATTTTATTGCAATTTTCCACCTCATATTTATGTGAACTGGGATTTTCAACCCTCGCCACAATTATGTGTAAAAAGAAAGGAACTCTTCAATGCATTGATGAGGAAATGAGAGTTTGTCTCTCAAACATAAGACCAAACATTGAAGAAATCGCAAGGTCTCATCAAGCTCATGTTTCTCATTAACACAGGAATGAATAAACTTCATAGAGGTATGTTAAGTTTGCTTTTATTAAATGCATTATTTTTCTATATATCTAACTTAATTATAACATATTAGTCCTATTTTGTATACAGTGTGCCAGCAAGTATCTGTAGTATTGTAAGTGCGCTCAGACTGTATAAAGTTTGAGAACCACTGCTTTAAAGGAACACAGAATATTATGAAAGATCTCCCAAACCACATCCAATATCAATCTCATAACAAACCAGTCAGGCAGTTGAAGGACTTAACAGAAGGAAAGCTTTAAAATCCAATTAAATTCAAAAAGGCAGAGCTGTCAAATTTTCTTAAACAAGTGCTACACTAGAACCCACTCATAAAGAGCCAGTGTCAATGACCTGAGAAACGCTGTAAAAGGTTATCAATATACTTACAGGAACAGAACACTATATACATACACAAATAAAACCTTTGACATAGACTTCTACAACTAAATGCAGAGGGATGCTTGTATATCACATTTAAGTGTTGTGTGAGAAACTTTCATCTCACATAAATTACCTAACTCTATACATCTTCACTGGTCTATAAAATGAAGAATGCTCAAAATATGAAGCAGTATATATATATATATATATATATACTTGATAATCCATAAAAAATGATCTTTTGATACACACAGAACCAAAGTTATAATTTTCCTATACTGAAAATGTATTTCTGATAGGTACTTCCCTCCTCTCACAAGATTAATTATTCTCGTTCGTTGCTGCCCTCTATAAGCAAACTTTTTTATTACACATGCCACAAGCTTTCCGCATCCCCCTTTTGGAATTGCAAGATTACAACATGGCCCTCATGCAAATCATCATTAGTCACCTCCTCACCAATAGAAGCAAGACATCTTCATGTGATACATGTGACTCCCGCTAAACTCCTCTACTGAACTATCCCTTCGAAGTTTGGCAGAAGATGTTGGCATCGGAGAAATGTGGGGAGGAAGGGTGGGAAGTGAGAGAAGAGATAAGTACCTATCAGAAATACATTTTCAGTATAGGAAAATTATAACTTCCGATACGGTACTTACATGGAGGGACCAGTGCGAGGGAACGATAGAGGTACCCCCCAAAAGCATCCAAAAGATACTCCTGGAAATGAGAGATTCAGATCCAAAGATCAGAAGGGGGGTTCCGCACCACTTTTGTGCCAGGTATACTCTTCACACAACTGTGGAATGTGTAAGATGCAAGTGGAGAAAATGAGAGGAGCACATCTGATTGGGAGAGAATGTGCCAAGAAAGTGATCCTAACCACAGAAATATACTGTAACTCAATCACACAATGAGAAAGGTGAGTAAACAAAGGATGTGCCCCTAGGTGTAAAGTGGCTGTGGCACAGCGGACCGTACTCTGTCAGTCGACTCCATCTAAAACCTGTCTGCGGGGTACCAACATCCTGAGAATCATACTGTCTTCACCTCAAACCCAAGAACCAGGGGATTGAGAAACACTCCAATTCCTGGGTATGACATGATGATTAGCTCTGAGTTATTGATCCAGGAACTTGACATCTGGTATCAAAAGGATGTCTGTCACTTGCAATCAACTCCTCCAACCATGAAACATGCTGGGACCATTGAAATGGCAATAGCATCCCCATAAGAAGAGAGGACGAGAGATAGCTGAGGACTGAATGGGAACAATCCCACGTACCACCGCTGTAACTCACAACACAAATGAAGGAAATCTAGGGAGGAAGATAGACAACCTAAAACCTGTGTGAGGACTTATATTGATCGGTTCATTCTAAAAAAACAAGGAAGCAACTTATCATGTGAAAACAGATCATCTCGCCAAAGGCTGGACTAAAGCCAGGCATGAAGACACAAAACGTGAAGGGTGAGATTTAGGACATGTGACTGAGGTTGATGAAGAAGGTAGGGAGAAAGTGGAAGAGGAACAAGAGGGGAGAGAAATTGCTGTAACCATGAAAACCAAGGCTGTGCTGGCCAATAAGAAGCAATCAGGAAGACCCAAGAAGGAGTGGATGAGAAAAATCACTTAATGAAGTAATCGGATAGGTGGGTACACATAAACATACTACTTGTGTGACCAATCATGGTAAAAGACATCAACTGGGGATGAGGTACAAGCAACCAAACAAGAGGTAATATGTGTTTGAGACTCGTAGCAGAGGCATCCCTGAAAATAAGGGGATCTAATGACCATTCTGTGGGATATATCCAGTCGGAGAAAAAAGGCAATTCACAGTCGGATTGAAAGCACCCGGCACATGACATGCAATAAGGCAAATGTGATGTGCAT